AAAAATGGATAATCCAATTAAAAATGGGCAGAAGACATGAACAGAGATTTTTCCAAAGAAGACACACAGAGGGCCAACAGACACATGAAATGATGTGTAACACTGTTGATCATCAGGGAAATACAAATCAAAAGCACCAGCCAGAATGCCTAAAATCAACAACACAAGAAACAACAGCTGTTGGTGAGGATGTGGCGTAAGGGGAAACCTCTTGGACTGTTGGTGTGAATGCAAATTGGTGCAGCCACTGTGGAAAACAGAATGGAGATTTCTCAAAACTTAAAAATAGAACTACCCTAAAAATAGAACAATCCAGCAATTGCACTAGTAGGTGTACCCACAGAATATAAAAAGACTAATTCAAAGGGACGCATGTACCCTGATGTTTATAGCAGCATTTTCTACAATAGCCAAACTATGGAAAGAGCCCAAGTGTCCACTAACTAATGAATGGGTAAAGAAAATATGGCGCGCACACGTGCGCGCGCGCGCACACACACACACACACACACACGCACACACAGAGGAATACTACTCAACCATAAAAAAGGATGAAATCTTGGCATTTGCAATGACAAGATGAACAGAGGAGCTCAAGAGTATAATGCTAAGTGAAATAAAGACAAATACCTTATGATTTCATCATATATGGAATTAAAGTTAGTCGGGAAAAAATAGAAGAGAAGCCAACCAAGAAACAGACTCTTAACTACAGAGAACTGATGGTTACCAGAGGGGAGGTGGGTGGGAAGATGGGAATTAAGTAGGGCACTTGTGATAAGCACTGGGCGTTGTATGGAAGTGTTGAATCATTTTATTGTATATCTGAAACTAATATTACTCTGTATGTTAAGAGGAATTTAAACAAAAATTTAGGGGTGCCTGGGAGGCTCAGTTGGTTAATATCCTACTCCTGATTTCGGTTCATGTCGTAATCTCATAGTTCATGAGATCAAGCCCTGTGTGGGGCTCCGTGCGGTACTGGACATGGAGCCTGCTTGGGATTCTCTCTCTCCCCCTTCTCTCTCTCTGCCCCTCCTCTACTCATATGCACCCCCCCAAAATAAACATTTAAAATAAATAAAAATTTTTAAAAATACAGACTCTGGGCTCCCACTTTTTAGGCCTATTAGATCACAATTGGAGAATCAGGCATACAAATACCCAGTGTTCTTATAAGCTCTGCCACAAATGCAGTGCAGCCCCGCACAAGTCTGCACTGACAAGCTGAGATCAGACAGCGTTCAAGTCCTCACTCTGAGATACCATGTCTCTTAGTGGTCGCTAGGCTACAGCTACATTACTGGAAACACATGGAGAACAGCTTCAGCACAGGGTGTAGACGGGAGTCCTCTCTGAAGTTTTGAGGGGCCAGTGTACACGGAGGAAGATACAGGGGAAGGGCAAGGAAGTTATGCCTGGAGGTGGTAGGGTGAGGGGAAGCAGACCAGTGCCAAACAGACCTTTGCAGGATTAGAGACCAGGGCATATCTTAAGGCTGAGAGCAAAAGCCGTTGGAGAGGAAGACTGAAGAAGGCGGGAAAGAGACTAACTCCTGGGGCCCCAGCACCATGATAGCAGACAATGGGAAGCCTCGGTGGAAACGACCTGCCTCAGACAGCAGAAGGCATGGAAAAGAGTGGGGCTAAGCCTGTGGAAGGTATAAGAACGATACTCATGATTACCTAGAACGGTGCTATCCAGTATGGCAGCCGCGAGCCACGTGCAGCTACTGCACACTGGAAGTGAGGCTAGTATGAGCAGAGATGTGCCAGAAAATATTTAAGGTGCACTGAATTTTAGAGATTTTGTAAAAAGAAAACCAGGGTCTAATAGCTCATTAATCATTTTTTTAGATTGATTACATATCAAACTTTTAAAACTTTTTAATGTTTATTTTTGAGAGACAGAGAGACAGACAGTGAGAGCAGGAGAGGAGCAGAGAGAGACACACACACACACAGAATCCGAAACAGGCTCCAGGCTCTGAGCTGTCAGCACAGAGCCCGACGCAGGGCTCGAACTCACAAGGTGCGAGATCATGACCTGAGCCAAAGTCGGGTGCTCAGACGACTGAGCCATCCAGGTGCCCTCAAACTGATATTTTATATATATTAAATAAAGTATATCAAGTTGATTTCACCTGGTTTTACATTTCCTAACGGAAGTTAAAATACTTACGAGGCTGTTGAGCCTGGCACAGTATTTCTATTGAACACCGACCTAAGAGTTATGGAAACCAGGACAAAAAAGGAAACCCAACCAGAAAAAATTTCTATCTGCAACCCCAGCACCAAAAAATGAAAACCTTTTTCTACAACCCCCAAATCTGCCTCATTCAGAAAAAAGGTTTGGCCCAACTGATGAAAAAAGTGCTGCCCGAGCCAACTAATTGTGAGTAGAAATGAACGTGTAGTGGAAAGTGTGTAATTTGTTCTCAGACACCACTAACACACAGCGGTTAATCCAGAGGGGATGAGGGCTTCTCATCCATTCATTAAGGCAGGCCCTCAAGGCCCCACAACGGCAAAGAAACCAGCAGCCAGCAAGCAATCCAGAGGAAGCAGGTGTACAGAGCGCACGCCTAGTGCTGGGAGAGACGCAGGACAGGGGGGCCCTTGGGATGACCCACACCCGAAAGGAACGAGGAAGAAAATGAGCCTCAGGAAGGTCAGTCATTTCCCAGAGTCGCGTTGTCTTCCTCCAGACTCCTCTCGGTTCCAATGCGCGTACATTTCCCACCCCATGCCTGTCCCTGCTTCCACGACTGTGAGTGGGCAGTGAGCAAAGCCCTGGGTGCCCCCTGACGCCTTCGTCACCAGTTCTGACATCCATCAGATGTTCCTTCCTCCTTCCAGCTGCCTCAACTCTGTGGTATGTGGCTAGGGTCATTCCAGACACGCAGGCCACCTCTCTGTTCCCCGAAGATAACAGAGCGAGCAGGGCTGTTTGCTGGCCGGTGGCCTTATCTAGGATCAACACTGGTGGCTCCTGCATCCGGATGGATTAAGTGGAGGCTTCGTGTTTCAGCAGGTGCCTGGTCACCACAGTCAGGTTTCTGAGGGCTTTTGTTTGGTTTTCCTTTGGGGGGAGGGGCTCTGAACAAGTCTCCAAGAACTCCAGGTTTGTCCACACCCAGGAACCAAGAGATCTAAGCTCGGGTGGCTGACAAGGGAGAAGGCCTCCTGGTGATGTGCTCACTCTCTGCGGGGCTGAGGGCGGACTGGCTCTGAGAGGTTTTCCAGCAGGAAGTACTCAGTCCCCCACCTTCCACTAAGGGGCTCAGTCCAGACCCTCCTGTGTCTCCACTGCCCCTAGGCTCTGCAAGGATCCAGTGCCCCCCTTAAATGGGTGGCCAGCCATTTGATGATCAGCTTTCTATTGCCTCCATATCCTAAGTGGATCCCAACCCCAGTCCCACCCGTCTCAGAGCAAGCGGATTTTCCTAGAATCCCACGCTTGCTGTGTAATCAGGACGGTCTATCAGGGAAGGCACTGACCTAGCAGCCAGGAGCCTGGGGAGCCAGCATCTGCCACTGAAGGCCGTGTGGCTTTGAGGGGAGCCAGCATCTGCCACTGAAGGCCGTGTGGCTTTGAGGGGACTGGGGCCTTTTTGGTGTTCAGGGTTCCTTCCGGGGAATCAGAGTCCAGCCGCCCAGCTCTCCAAGGTCTTTCCAAACTCTTGTACTCTGCAGTCTTGCCACTCCTCTGTTCAAGAACCTTCTCGGGCCTCCCTCCTACAGATAACACCCAAACTCCTTGAGCTAGCAAGGCCTTCGAGGCTGTGCATAACCTGACCTGGGACCTCCTTCTAGGCCATTCCTCACGACCTCCCCCATGGACACCCTCATGCAAGGCAGCCAGCTTTCTCATGGTTACCCCAATGCTCCGTACTCACACCTTCCGCTCACCTGTGCTCACACCACTCTCCGTGCTGGGGTGTCCTCCCTTCCATTCTCACCATCTGCCTCTTTCAAGGAGCCCTTCCTGACCTCCCAGCCCTGAGCTCCAGCCCGAAGAGAGTTCCTCCTCAGAAATGCCAGAATTACTGTGGAGACAACTCATTCAGCCCTTAGAAGCCACTGCCTGGGCATCCAATTAGATAAAGCTCTCCAGACAGGGAAGGACTCCCCTGTGAGGCTAACCAGCTCCTCACCCAAGCACGTGTGGCTGCGGCACACACTTGCAAGTCCCACGGCCCCGGAACAGAAGGGGTGGTCGTGTGCATGACACCTCGGAAGGTTTTCACATTCCATCACCTCACGTCATCCTCACAGCTGCTCTGAGGAGTGGCTCTGACACAGGGGCCCATCACCCTGGGAGAAGTCACCCGTGCCCAGCACTGGGCCAGAGCTCTTCTGCCTCCAGGGCCAGTCTGTTCCCTCTGAGAATCTGGCTAGGGCAAGATGTCAGGAAACACCAAGGCAAACGAAGCATGCCGGAAACGATCCCTGATCCCCAGATCCCCAGATCCCCAGGCCCACTCCTCCTTGGAAAGCACAGTGGGGAGCCTGCCCGCCCGCCACCATCCCTCCCAGCAGAATCCTCCTTCGTGGCACTTCCTCGGTTGGGGCAGCGTGGGAATTTCAGGAGCCAGCCTCCCCATGAGCTCCAGAGGTTTGGGGAAGCCAGAGCAGCGTCACAGAGAAGAGCATGCTGGGGCTGGAAAAGCTCTTAAATATCTGGTGGCCATCACCTCACTGTAGCCAGAAGGAAGAGGGATTTCAGAAGGGGGAGCACGCAGAGCAGCAGAGAGCAGCAAAGCTGGCCTGGACCCCGAGCCCCCCTCCTCCCGCCTGAAGCAGGGCGGGGGCCACCTGGGGACAGCTGGAACAGGTGAGCATGCGACCCCACTGTTGATCTCTACCCAGAGGACATGAGCATCTTTAGTTCCCAAAGAATGTAAAGCAGCCGCAGGAAGTTAGGAAGGGGGAGCGAGTTTAAAACAAACACAGGGCTTCCTACATAAGGACCGCACAGCTACGGGGCACCATCTCCGCAGGAACCCCAGGTAGGCTCTCTCTACTCTGTGTGTGTGGGTTTATGGATTTAACTCACTGTGACTGCTGCCCATTCGCAGGCCCATCTGAACAAAGGGAGGCTGCGCGGCATGGGGCAGCAGGAAGCCCCCAAGCCCCCTATCCCCTGGGGACCCTGCTGGTCCAGCTCTGTGATCCTGCATTAAGAAATTCAGCACAAAGGGGCGCCTGGGTGGCTTAGTCGGTTAAGCGTCCAACTTTCGCTTAGGTCATGATCTCACAGTTCGTGGGTTCGAGCCCCGCATCGGGCTCTGTGCTGACTGCCAGCTCAGAGCCTGGAGCCTGTTTCAGATTCTGTGACTCCCTCTCTCTCTGACCCTCCCCTGCTCACGCTGTCTCTCTCTCTCTCCTAGAAATAAATAAAAATATATTTTTTAAAATGCTTAAAAAAAAAAAAAAAGAAATTCAGCACAAGCTCCCTGGGGTCCAGGACAAACATGGGGAGTCCCACTGCCCAACAGCCTGGGAATAGAGGGCACGTATCCTTTCATTCGCTCCTACCTGGGGGCAGTGGGCAGAGGGAGCCCCTCTCAGGGGTAGGAAGAGCTCCTCTGCTCAGCAGTGACATCCCAGGGCCAAGTCCCCTCACCCTGCCTGCTGGGCTTCTCCCTGAGATGCCTGGGGCCCAGGGAGACGGGGGAGGGCCCGCTGCCCAGAGACCCTCTCTCCTGCAGGCCTGCCTGACGCCATGCCCTCCCTGGGGGCTGTGTGCAGCCTGCTGCTCTTCAGCGTGCTGTGGATGGACTTGACCATGGCGGGCTCCAGCTTCCTGAGCCCCGAACACCAGAAGGTACAGGTGAGGGGTTCCCCCCACAGAGCCCCACATGCGAACAGGGGGATCTCGTTCCGGCCCTGCCACGGAGCAGCCAGTAGGGTGGCCTGGGCGGTGGCCCAACTCTACTCTTCAGCTTTCTCCACGAGCACAAAGGAGAAATCCGCGTCTGACCACAGGTTCACACCTCACCTGCCTCTGGAAGTATATGGGGGGGGGGGGCCCTAAAAAGAGAATCTCTCTTTCCAGCAGAGAAAGGAGTCCAAGAAGCCACCACCTAAACTGCAGCCCCGAGCTCTGGAAGGTTCGCTCCGCCCAGGAAACCCAAGTCAAGTGGAAGGGGAGGAGGATGAGCTGGAAATCCGGGTTGGTCCCTCTGGCTTCAGTGGGAGTGGAGGGGAGGGCGGAGGGCAGAGGGCAGGCTATGGATGGGGATCCACTTAGCACCTACTTAAGTGTCAAACAGCAAAAGAAGAGCTGACTCTGAACTGGGCTCTACCAGGTCTTTTCCCGTCAGGAGGCCGATGGGCGTGCTGAGGAGGAAAGGGGTTCTGTAGGGGCTGCCCGTGCACTTCCCTGAAAGGCTGGCTGTGCTTCAGGTCATGGTTCTGACAAGCATTCAGGTGGCAACAGAAGCCTCCATGCAGTGGAGCCAGAACATTCCAGGGGGGAGTCCTCAATAGTGGCGATTGTCGCACTGCTCGTGTCTACTGACCGAGACTTCACTTATGAACTGCCTTCCCCTCACTGCACACCGTTCAATCTCTACACCGTTTAATCTCTACACCCTGTGCGGCAAGTAGGGCTGAAATGATTGCCTTCGTTTTAGAGACGAGGGACCGCAGGTCACACAGGTGAGTCACGTGCCTGATGCGCCACAGCCGGTGTGTGGCAGAGGCGGGATGCGGGGTTGGAGCTGACTCCAGCTCCCAAGCCCCCTTTGCCCCCCGGGTCTAGCAAACAGAGTGAACACAGCGGCCCAGAGTCCCCCTCGCTGGTCTCCTCTGGCCTGAGAAGCCGGAGTGAGTCGGCCACCCTCCCTCCCCGGCAGCTTCTTCTGTCAGGCACGAGCTCCCGAGCCCTGCTCTCTCGGACCCTCACCAGAACTGAGGGGTGCTCCCAGGGGCCTCGTCTACACCACATGAGAGGGCCCCATTCGATTCCGGCAAATCCTCAGACTAAAACCGGGGAATCTCCCGGTGAGGCCGGCAGCCCCTGCGGCTGGCACTCACCGCAGCCGGGCTAACGGCTCTGTTTGCACAGACAGGAGAGGTTTCGGTGGCTTGGTGACTCAAGGCAGGGCCGGGGCAACCAGTTTCCAGTTCCCACAAAGGCTGGCCTGGGAAGAGGTGGCTGCGCCGGAGGCGGGGAGGCCCGCACCCTGGCCACCGGGCTCTTGAACCTACTGCCTGAGCCCCTCCTGCGCCAGGCTCCACCGGGCCCCCATCTCGGGCCCCCACCCGTCCCCCAAGCATGTGCCTCCCGGAATTGACTTTCAGAGCCTTAAGACTTTTGAGACCAAGTCCTATCCTTTCCCCCGGCTGGCCGGCCACCCCCGACAGAACTCAGGAGGCACTGAGGCCAAATGGGCCTTCAAGTCACCAGAAGCAAACCTCCCCTTCAGGAGTGGCCATGCGGCCGCCCGGTCCCAGGAGCCAGGCCAGCCAGCAGGCCGCCGATCCATGGTCATGTGGTTGCTGAGAAGTCTGTTCAGGTCATCTGCCAGCCCCAGGGTGGAAGAGAAATAAGCACTTGCCTGTGGGAGAGAACAGACGGGCCGAAGTTCCCTAAAAACTCATCACGTCCTTCCCCGCTCTCTCCACCCTCACAGTGGAGACGAGCAAGGCCGGTCTTCCCAACAGGCAGCTATTTGGTTTTTTCATAACCTCTGGGGCATGTCTGCTCGCGTGTGAAACAGAATGACAGCAGCACCTGCTGGCAGAGAAGCCCAGAGGCCTGCGCCCAGCACGGAGGCGAGGCCTCGGGCCGGCCTGGCGGAGACGGGGGCGGGCTCCGTGCTGGGTGTCGCTGCAGCCCAGGACCAGACAAGGTTCCAGGACCGGCGGGCTGGAGTCCCGGGCTGTAGGCCTTGGCCACCTCGTTAAGTCATCAACCTCCCCAGGCCTCCCGGTGGGAGGGCGGGTGGCAGAAGGACTGATGCCTGAAGGCTCCCTCCCGGCACAGGACTCCCTCAGTGACTCGCGACATGTCAGTGACCAGCATGCAGGCAGGTACCAGGTACCAAGGCAGCTACTGGAAGAACAGAGATAAAGCTATAGCCGCTCTCAAGGGAGGCAATCCATGAGGTGGTTGCAAACAGAGCTCTTCCCCATTTACCCAACGCTGGGCTTCAGTGAATCATCTGCCCGAGTGCTGACAGGGCAGGGCAATCAGGGGCTCCCCTGTAGAAGGGAAGAGACAGAGGCACAGAAAGAAGGGAGCACTTGGCTCAGGCCATCTTTCCAGGCAAAGGTCAGCTTCTTGTCTGACTTTTCATGGAAAGGGAAAGGCCTGTGCCCAGGAGAGGAAGAACGGCTGGGAGAGGAGGTGGGGGCCACCATCCAGGCTCGTGCCAGGACCCTGGCGAGACCCACGCTCCTCCCAGGCTCCCCACTGGAGTCTGAACTTCTACCACTGGCGACTCAAACTTCAGTCTTGCCAAACTACAAGGGGGAGTGGGAGCGATCTAGGGAGCCCCACAGCTCATACGAGCAACCTCACTAGAGGTACGGAAAGAGCGCAAGGTAAGTCCCCTAAAGATGGCCGGGGCGGGAAGAACGGGCCTAAGAAGGCAGAGTAACCTGGCTGAGCCGTCCCTCGGCACCCCTGCTGGGCCCGCATGCCGTCCTCCCTCCTGGGAGGAGACCCTGAGAGCCCAGGGACTCCTTTGGGAGGACTGTGTGTCTGGGACAGAGGGTGGGACCTCTGACTGATGCTTCCTGGGTCTTCCCCGCCCCTCCTCCTAGTTCAACGCCCCCTTTGATGTTGGAATCAAGCTGTCAGGGGCTCAGCACCACCAGCACGGCCAGGCGCTGGGGAAGTTTCTTCAGGACGTCCTTTGGGAAGGGACCAATGGTGAGTCCTTGCCCCAGTCAGGTCACTTCAGTCTCCACGGAGTCCCAAATGTGAGTTCGGCCTAAGGGTGACACAAGAGAAGTCTTCTTCCCCTGCTAGTGCCTCTCAAAGAGCTTCTAATTCCTCCTTCCCAGAAGTCTGCAGGACAGCGGGCTGGGCTGGGATTTGTGAGGGGCTCAGAAGAGAGCTGAGCAGTCTTCGTATTTCAAGAGCATACTCGCTATGTTCCAAGAACTAGCACATTGACTAACTCTGGGGCCCCCGGAACCCCAACTTTCCTAACTGTGAGTGCATAAAATTATACCTTTGTTATATAACTTTGCTTCATGAACAGAAGGAATTAGCGGTATAATCAGGATAGATTCTTCTGCAGTTAAGCAAAGGTTTCTTGGTTTTGTTCTGAATCCCTCCTTGGCTTGTAAAAAGAAACCATTCATTTGTTCCTGATCACGGGGACAAACAGCCGCCTTTGGAAGCTTTGGAAGAACATTGCAACCCGCAAAGCACTTCCCTAACAACATGGCGTCACCCTCCACCCCCAGCGGCCACGGGAGGCAGGCAGGGCGCATGGCACTTACCTGGGGGTGCAGAGAAGGAAAGCACAGCTTGGCTTCCGGGTGACAAGGCCACAGCCCACACAGTCCACCCTCCGAGGCCAACGCCCCCTCCCTGCGTCACATCATGCCACCTGCCACATCGCCATTGCGGAAGCAAAGCCATTTTCGATGGCACCGGCAGGACAACGGACACTGAATTTTGACCTCTTGCTTTTCAGAGGCCCTGGAGGATGAGTGACGATCCACGAGACTGGACCCCCTGCCTTCCTCCCACGCTGAGCGCGCCTGCCTGGCTTTTCTACAGTTTCTGCAACAACCCCCAGGTCTGGGTGGTACTAGCTCATGAGCTGAATAAACATGCACACTGCCGAATGTTCAAAATGGAAATTTATTTCACCAAAGAGGAAAACTTGACATTTCGTTGAAAAAAAAATTTTTTTTAAATCTACGGTCGGTGGGAAGAGCAAAGAAGGCTATGTAGTAAGGCAGGTGTGCATACTTCGGAAACCAAGAAAGGGAGGGGAGGGTGGGAGGGAGGGGACGATAGAAAGACCATTCTTGTCAATAGCACAGCTTCCTGAGCACAGAGAAGTTACAATGAGAGCTATTTAGCAAACAGCAAGGACCGGGGACCGGGGAACTTCGGGTGACATTGTCAGGGCCAACATCCACTGAACTGACCTTCGAGATCAGAACAGGATCCTGGGAATGCCAAAGCAGGCGTGTGAAGGAATACCTAAGCGCGGCGCTCACAGTGCTACCAGCCGCGGCCAGACAGGGCTGAAGTCACCCTCTCTCCTTCCTCCTTGTCCACCCCCGTAAGGACGTGGCGAAGCAGACGCCATCTCATGGAGGCCAGGCTGGGCACCACCTCGGTTACTTCACTGACACCAGGCAGGTCCCTAAACACTTTCAACTCTAGCTCACAGCTGAACTGAGACGTGATCCTTAAGTTCCACAACTTAGTTCCACTGAAGATACCAGCCTTCTCGGGAGGAACATCAGTTATTAGTGATTTACACTTTAGCGTAAACGTGTGACTTGATTTCAAGGAGCCGGTGATGACAGAGGATGGGTGAGTCACTAAGGAGAGAAAAGGGTAAAGAATGAGGAGGCTCCAAGTAGAAGCACTGCCAATACCTATTAGAAATGTGTAGGCCAACCCTCTGCACAGAGTTGGGGTAACAGGCACAGTCCGGAAAAGCCTTTGTCAGAGAGCTGGAGGAAGCAGGTCTTTTCGGGAGTAAAACCGTGGCCGCCTGGCATGCAAGGCACAGCAGCACGGGCACTACCCACTGATCAGACTCGGCAGGCACACTGAAATCCAACCACCACCCTGGGCAGGGACCACCACCATCTGAGAACCTCTTAGAAGTGCAGAATCTTGGGCCCCGCCCTGGTCCTACCCTATCAGGATCTGCATTTTAACAAGATCCTCGGGCGATTAAATGGCTTATTTAAAGGGGCTGAGAGTCAACTGGATCCTGGTCTATTCAGGCAGCACAGCACACAGGAGAACCGGATTTACTACTGGCCCCGCCCCCCCCCCCCCCCCCCCCCCCCCCCCCCCCCCCCCCCCAGCATGAACCCGTGTTGATTCTCATATAAAACCTCTGAAACTTCAGACCCGGCCAGGTGGCGTCCTCAACAAAACTGAGCCAACATCATGCTCACTTACCTCCCCCATGTCTCTAGCCCCAGTCTTGCCGGGGACATGCCATGCCATCCCTTGGGGCTACCACACCCGTACCTGCGTCTCCCAGATGCCTACAGACTCTGAGGACACTGGCACTTTGCACACCACAACCTTGCTTCTGAAAGCATCTACCTCTAAGCCTCAGGAGTAAGACTGCAAAGCGTTATTCACCATAGAAAGAACTTAAGATACTGGTGAACGCAGTGGGCGAAGGGGGGAAGAGGGAGAAAGGCAGTACAAGTGGAGGGAAAGGACCTTCCTCAGCCCCCAGCCCCAATGCAGAGACCAGCACACTGTCCTGCACCTTGGCCACAACCCAGCTCTACCACTTAGTAGGGCTGCAGCTCTGATCATCACTAACCAGGCCCGCAGCCGTTTTTTCCAAGAGAATTTAGTGATTCACCACTTACACGTAACCCCCAGTGCTCATCCCTACCAGTGCCTTAGTGCCCATCTCCCCTTTAGCCCATCCCCCACCCAACACCCTGCCAACAACCCTGTTCGTTCTCTGTATTAGAATCTCTTACAGTTTGTGTCCCTCTGTTTTTGTATTATTTTTGCTTTCCCTTCCCTTACGTTCATCTGTTTGGTATCTTAAATTCCACATGATTGAAATCATAGGATATTTGTCTTTTTCTGACTTACTTCACTTAGCGTAATAGGCTCTAGTTCCATCTAGGTTGTTGCAAATGGCAAGATTTCATTCTTTTTCATCGCTGAGTAATAGTCCAGTGTGTGTGTGTGTGTGTGTGTGTGTGTGTGTGTGTGTGTGTGTTTATATATATATATATACACTGCATCTTCTTTAGCCATTCATCAGTCCATGGACATTTGGGCTCTTTCCATACTTAGGCTATTGTCGATGGCGCTGCTATAAACATTGGGGTGCACGTGCCCCTTCCAATCAGCATTTTGGTATCCTTTGGATAAATACCTAGTAGAGTAATTGCTGGGTCAGAAAGTAGCTCTATTTTTCATTTTTTGAGGCACTTCCATACTGTTTTCCAGAGTGGCTGCGCCAGTTTTTATTCCCAGCAAAAGTGCAAAAGGGTTCCCCTTTCTCCACATCCTCACCCACATCTGTTGTTGCCTGAGTTGTTCATTTTAGCCATTCTGAGAGGTGTGAGGTGGCATCTGGCTTTGATTTGAATTTCTCTGACGAGTGATGTTGAACATCTTTTCATGGGTCTGTTAGCCATCTGGATATCTTCTTTGGAAAAGTATCTATTCCTGTCTTCTGCTCATTTCTTCACTGGACTATTTGTTTTTTGGGTGTTGAGTCTGAGAAGTTCTCCATAGATTTGGGATACTAACCCTTTATCTAACAGGTCATTCGCAAATATCTTCTCCCATTCCAACGGTTGCATTTGTTTTGCTGATTGTTTCCTGCACTGTCACCCCAGAGGAGGATCCAAGGCCCACACGTGGTCAAAGTGGTCCAGGAAGGCAGCGAGCGACCCAAGCAGCATGCATAGATCGGGCCCAGGGTGGCATGGGTTCAGGCCATGAGGGGAATATGATCACCTGATGCTTCCAAAACAAAGACAAGGGCTTACTCCTCTCGCAAAGGACTCATAAGCACTCTCCCACTTGCCTAGGTGATTTCTGTAAGAAATAGATGCTGTGGAGTATGGTAGTGGGAGAAGAAAGGGTGATGGGCATTAAGAAGGGCACTTGCTGGAATGAGCACTGGGTGTTATACATAAGTGATGAATTACTGGAATCTACTCCTGAAGCCCAGCCTACACTTTATGTTAGCTAATTTGAGAAGGAAGTAAGGGGAGGGAGGAAGGAATGAAGTGAGGGAAAGAAAAAACAGATGCTGAGCACCCACTCTGGGCCAAGTAGTCTCCTGGGTCAGGGATCATGATGTGATGGAAAGCTAGGACCTTCAGACTCAAGACCCAAATTTGAATTCCAGATGTAGGATTCAGACCAAGACAATGAATTTCTCAGGCTCATCACACATAAAACGCCCATTTCCCCAGGTTACTGTCAAGACTGAACACAGTACCCCCCCCACCAGACACCAGGCATAGTAGGCCTTCAATTATTCTAACCACCACTATTTACTGCATGCCTGCCGTGCCCTCGGCATTGTTCTATAAACTTGTACGTGCTCAATGTAGTCACAGTTAACTTGCACAAGCCCACTTAGGAGGGAGAAAACTGGAATTAAGTAACTTTGAAAGTCACTCAGCAAATCTGCTGCTGACTCCTATCCAGAGGTATGGTACCCAGGTCTGTATCTCTCGGTCACTACTTCCCTTGCCTGACTACCTACGATCTAAGGGGCTTCTTTTGTTTTTCACTTTCCTTCATAATACATCGGAGTGGGGTGAGGACAATTTCAAGTCAACAACTGACAGAAAATTTAGCAAAGGAAACACTTGAGGAAATGTAGCCTTTCCAACATCCTAGGTCAGCCTTTTTTAATGTATTTTTTTTTAATGTTTGTTTATTCTGAGAGAGAGAGAGCACGCGAGCACAAGCAGGGGAGGGGCAGAGAGGGAGACGGAATCCCAGTCAGGCTCCACACCATCAGCACAGAGCCCAATGCTGGGCTCAAACTCACAAACTGTGAGATCATGACTAGGTCAGCTTCTTCCTTAAACCCACGTCTCCACACATCATTTAATGATGCCACTAACTTAACTTTCTCTGAAACAAGGTATACTTATCCCTGGGAGAAGCAAGGTATTTGCTGGAGGAAAAAATCCTTATAAAAAACTTTGGTGTTACAGAATATACCTGGTACCTTAGTAGAGGAACACATGTATTATACACTCATAGGCGTGTGCTCAGAAAGTCGGAAGACAGTGTGCAAACCTAAGGACGAAGACCCACACTTAGCTACCTTCCCTCGTCTGGACATGCCCCCGACCATCACGGACAAATGCGCGCTGTGACCAAGGGCTGTACTGGCCAGCACTTCCACAGTCTCTGATGCAGCCGGTTTTGTCGCTGTGTGGCTCAGTGGCCATTCGCCCTTATTTTATGAAACGGAGTGATGCCAACGTAAACGTGCTGTCAGTAAACGATGAGTAATTGGTCCCAAACTTAACAGAGAGAGCAGCGGATTTCTAGCCACAAGCAAGGCTATCCCTGGGCAGATGCAGTCAGTTGTGTGCTCTCCGGGGAAGGAGCGGAGGAGACCAAGTGAAGGGACTATGCTGGAGATACATCATCGATGGTGGCGTCCCAAATGAGGCATCTGCACAGACTTCGAATTTCTGTAGCATTCGTGGAACACAGCCTTCCTTTTCGCAGGCCTGCTTCTGGCCTGTGCACCTGTGTTCAGGAAGGAAGACCTTGGCACAGAATTAGAGGGCCGACTGCAAGTGGCGACACAGAATTTCCTCCAGCGTTTGCCCAGAGGAGCCCACAGGCCAAAGCCCAGCCTCACTACAACAGACCGTCAACAGCACCCCTGTGTGCTCCCCTTCTACCGCAGCACTCTGGGGGAAAAGGAAGATCTATGTACTGCTAAGCAGCAGCTAATACATCAGAGTTCCCGGGCAGCAAAATGGGCTAGTGTTCAAGGGCAGCAGAACTCTGAAGAAGGTACCATGCATTCTTATGAGTGGTTTCATTCTGCAGAGACATCCACGTATCCCCGAGCATTTCTCCGCGACTCTGGATTCGCAGGTTACGAGGCTGGCCGACAACCTAACTGTTGATAGCACTCTGAGCAGGGTAACCAAACACAGAGAGCACGGGAGCCGGCTGGAGACCCAGGACTTTATTTTCAGAACGAGATGGCCACGAGGGGCAGGGGTAGGGGACGTACAGAGGCATTCACATTCCAGCAGCACAGTGGGAACAATCAAGGCAGCCATCAAGTCAAAGACAACGCCCACCAGCTTTCACCGCCCACATGGGTCGTGTCCCACTGTGTCACAGCACAGAAGTGATCGTCTTACATCCTAGAGAGGACAGTACATATAGCACCTTGTGCTTCCCCCTGACAGGGAGACTGCACAGGCTGGGATGTGCCTCTAGCGCAGGACCAGTCCGCTCCCAGCGCAGTGAGGACTGACAAGCCTGTTGTAAAGGGGGCGTACAGGCTGCAGGTCACTTGGGTGACAAGAGAGCGCTCTGGACATCTGTCCTCCAAGCAGAAGCGTAAGCCCCGCCTCCCCACAGATGACACGCAGCTGACCCATGTAAGGTCAACAGTGAATGGAGGCCTGCTTCCCAGGCCAGTGACGCGGGCACGGGGGCAAGACAGAAAAGCCAGACGGGAGATGTTAAATCCATTCCCTGTTAGCTTACGAGGCTCAAACGCACTTTCCAAAAAAACCTGGAGAAATCCGGCGTCAAGTGATGGACTTTACGTATTAAGCCACCGGCCTCCAAGAAGCAGACAAGGACAGAGGGTGTCCCGTCTCCCCGTGGGAGATGGCGGTGAAGGATCGTTTTCAACAAAGTGCACAGTGTCCTCACACTTCACCCTTGACCGTTATAACCCTCCAGGGCCTGTAACACACAGACCAGCAGGGGGCAGAGCACAGCTTCGAACGTGATGACCCTGCTTCTCACCGTTCCGGGGAGAGGCACGCACTTCCAGCGTGGGAGGAAGGACACAGAGGCGGCAAAGGCAGGGAGAGCCCCGGGAGGCACGGAAAGGCAGAGGCGCCAGGCCTGCTGTTCTGCAGAGCCAACACCGTGGCGGAGCAGCCCCAGCGCAGCTGTGAAGAACTACACCGGTTTACCGCTCAACCGAGGTGGGGCACGCAGGGGCTGTTACACGGGATGCAACAGAAGTAGTCCTGGTCCAGCGTTCCAGGAGAATGGGGCAAAAATGGAGCAACGGGCGGCTGGGACGCCCCGACAGCAGACTAGCGGGTGGCATCTGCCACCCGTGGAACCCTTACCCAGGTAACACAACCGAGACGTAGCCCTGGGGGGCGTGCGTAAGCAGAAACACCTTCTCGGGGGTCCTCTTTCTCCCAAAGGCCTCTTCCTGGAGTCCCCTGTGCATCCAGGTCTCCACTGGCCAGGACCTCCCCTGCACAGGGAGCGGCCCCCGGCCCTCCACACTGACGGCGGAAGAACGCGTGGGACCAGCGGCCCTGTCTTCCATCCTTTTGCTGAAGCAGAGCCGGGGCAGGAGCGCAAACAGCCACCCTGAAGCGTTATCCAGGTGAGGAAGGGGGGCTTCTTAGTCACAGGACCATAAACTCCCGAGAGGGGGCTCCAGCGGACGGCCCCCGGGGAGGCATCCCGCTTGGGAGTTCATCTTTCGAACTGAGAACCAGGAGCCGAGACCACAGGCACCGGCGAGCAGGGGAGGATCTGTGCAGACTGCCACCAGCTACAGAGCACCAGGGCTCAGAGAGGTGAGCTCGCTGACCCCCCCCCCCCCACAGCCAGAAGTGGAGCCTTAGGATTGGGCTTCAGGGCAAGCATCCTGTCCTGCTTTCCTCCGCATCAAGGGGCTCCCTCCAGACACATCCCTGACCCGGGACGTGCACGCAGAGAGCAAAGCAGCCCATCCTCCGTCAGGCCACTGGTCGTCCTGGAGCGGGAGGAAGAGAAAAGAAGGTCCCAAAGCAAGTTCACTCAAGACGGGCCAGGCTTAATGCTCGCCCTACGGTCTATAGTCTCTCCAGTAAGAAAATGCAGAGAAACCTCTCTTCGTGCTGATTTTTCAAGAACCTACAATGCGATCTTTATGACCTTTTCTAGTCTGACCTTGTTCTCCGGATGGCACGCCCTCCGCTTAAAGATTGTACAAGCGGCTGGTGTTCTCCCGCAGGGTGGCCAGGGTGCGGGAGAGCGGCTGAGCTTTGACGCGCGCGATCTCGCGGACTGTATGCAGGGCCAGGCCCGGGTGGGCATACTGGCAGAGGCTCCTGGGCACCTGCAAGACACCAAGCATCCCGCGCCTCGCTACGCGTCCTGCGCGCAGTCACGAGCAGACCCCCTCCCCGGCCCTTCCCCAGCGAGGACCTCTTTGGGGCTGCCCTGTAGAGACCCCTTTACCTGCAGGTGCAGGGAGAGTCCTAGTCATGGGGGGCTCTGGGTGAGCGGGGGTCCCACGCTTCCTTGGACTGCCCTCTACAGGGTAGGGCTTTGCACTGCCTGGAAGAGAGTGGTTACCCTTCAGCTTCTCAGCCCCCTAGACTTTTGGTTCTGCAGAGCGACAACAAGGAGACATCTGCACAGCCAAGGGGGACACCTGCGAGTCACTGGGGCTCTGGCCCTGCCAGCCTTGCCAAGGTGACCGCCCGCCGCCCCTCCCACCCCCGCCCCAACTCAGCCCCATGACCCGCGTACCTGCCGGGGCAGGAAGTAGGGAGCATCCGTCTCCACGATGATCCTCTCCAGCGGGATGTGCCTCAGCGCTTCCCGGGCCTCCCAGGCCGAGGAGTAGGTCAGGACTGCCGTGAAGCCCACAGACATGTTGGGGAAGTGCTGCAGCAGGGGCTCGATGACGGGGTAGCTGCCAGTGAAGCAGTGCCTGGGGGGCAGGGGAGGGGCAGTTCCAGATCAGGGCCCCTCGCAGCCCCCCCGCGCAACAGCCCCCGCCCCCCAGGACAGGGAGGCCCTTTCCAATGATGGCGCGTGGACGAACGCCCAGGAACACGAAGGCCGCATCCAAGGGAGGGACGCCACGGTAACCAGACAAGGGCACCGCGGCGCAGACCCAAGCGACTCTCAGCCAAGGCTCCGGCTTGCAACCCGTCGCAGCACCCAATCCTACGCGGCCACGTGAAGTGACCGCCACAGGGAACACAGAGCAGCCATACAGGGAGGGGCAGGGTGCGCTTGTAACACGAGAAGAGAAGGAGAATGAAAACCCGGGGCGCCTCCATGATTACAGTTACAAGAGAAAAAACGGATTTCTCTGCAATCAAGTGAACTGGAAGCCAACAAAAACAGTGAGGACAGGAGGGAGGCGGCTACAGGCAAAGCTCCTCTGAACATGTTATCTAGTCAGGCTCTCAGGGCCCTTTTATACTGTTAACCAGTCTGGACCCTCAGGGCTCCCGCCAGCCACGGCACCTCACCGAGCCGTCCTGGCCCTGCTATACCTGCCCCCCACTAGCCCTCCTTCAAAGTCACCCCCAAAGCCAGCCACAAGAAGCCCGCCAGCCCCTCCGGAAGGGCCGAGGGACGGGGCCTCCTCTCTGGTGTGTGACCACGGGTCAGAGGTCGCGCTCCACTTGGGCACCGGAAAGGCAGCAGTCTGGCTGCTGACCCACTGCCTTCTGCTGCCTGTCAGCAACTGTCACACCTGAGGCTCCGTGTGTTCTGTGAACCCATCTCACCCATCTTGAAAGAGCCACCCCAGGCATCACCTCCTGGCTCCTTTCTAGCAAAGCTAAGCCAATGGCCCCTCCTCGGGCTCCCACAGCACCTCACGCCCGCCTCAGCCCTGCGCTCTGCGGAAGTCGCTAGCCAGCCTCCACAGCTGCTCCCAGGGGCCCCGAGCCCATGCCTAGGACGGGCACGCAGTAGGAGACCAAGAGTCTACCTCACTGAGGCCCTACAGCCAATTCCGATGAAATGCATACTGAAATTCAATGGCTGGAAAATGAACTTTCAAATTCAAGACAGGAAAGAATTTTTTAGGGGCCCTGGAATGATCTCCATGTGCTAAGTCCCTGGACGACACAAGTGATCTCTCTCCAGATCAAGGGCCCTCATTTCTGAGCGCTCAGACGCCATTTTAGCCTGCAACCAGGGACAGGGGTCATGAAAGCCTCCTTCCTGCTCACTGGTGATTTAGGCTGTTAGCTCGAACCATACAAAACTGCCATTTGGTAAGTAAAAAAAAAACAGTCAAATATCAGAAACGGCCTTTGATTTAATCTAATAGTCCATCTCTTGAAGAGATATCGGTCGTGAAGACCTCGTCTTATCATCCTCTCCCGAGTCTTCCTTTCTCCAACTGACACCCTCCCCAGAAAGCGCTCCTCTCCTCCGCCCACGGAGCTCAGCCTTCTAACCTATGGATCTTGTAATCTGAGGGCACAAATTTTTTCATGATGTTCAGCAGATCTTCGTCGGCTTCCCGGCAGTGGATCACCAAGGGCTTCTTCAGGGACACGGCCAGCTGCAGCTGCCTCTCAAACACCTGGGGGGAGGCACAGGGACAGCTGTGGGTTAGAGCCACCTCGAAGCCTGTCACCTCGAGCACACCCAGACCAACGGGCACCCCGCTACCCCGTTCTGCAGACTATATAACGCACTGTAACGCCACCTAACTCATACTGGGTGCTTACTCACAGGGAGCGCTCAGAGCTCGTCAGCTGTAGCATAACCTGTGATTCTCACAAGCACCCTGGGGCAGGCGTGCTGTTAGCCTGATGCAGTTGAAGACAAGGAGGCTCCGAGAGAGGAAAAGGGACTCACAGCTGGAAGCTGGAACGTCACAACGCACAGCTGAACCCCAGCACTCCAGAGAGCACCCGCCATGCAGTGCTTAAGTGGGGAGGGCAGGGCGGGGCGCGGGGACATCAAGTAGAAGTTAAATGTCCTTCCCCTCACCGTCCCCATCTCTACTCCTACTCCCAAGAGGTAATCACCGTCCATACATTTTCCAAAGTTGTACAAACACACACACACACACGCACACATATACACACACACCCCTGCACAATGCCTGGATCTCAAAAGGTGCTCAAATATTTGCCAGAATAAAAACATGTATTTTCTCCAACTTACTTTCTTTACTCAACCAAAATCAGATACCCTTCTAGATGAATACCTATGGAGACACTACCTTTCATCTTTTAACCTTTAAAAAACATCAACAACAACAACAAACTCTAGCCACTTTTAAACCGCTAGTAAACTACACATATTAATAATTTAAGTGAAAAGGAGCTGAACTTATCCTTTCCTCTAACAAGCTTAGCTTTAGAAGAGAACACCAGTATGAACTCATCATAAACACATGACCTCATCTTAAACTTCATGTTTCCATGAGTTGTTTTTTTTTTTTGTTTTTTGTTTTAACTGTGGAATAGAATTCATGTTTGCATTTTTAACAGCCAGTAAACTGTTGGTAGCTTGGGTCCTGTAACGTTCACCTGAGAACGCCATCTGCAAGTCTAGCGCTTGGGCTTCCTCTTCTCAGGGACATTGACTCAATGCCATTCTGGGGTCATTCTCGTTTAACCTGTGCTCTCAACAAAAGGAAAAAGGGCCACAGACACCAAAATCTTAGAGCACTTGGTAGCGGCTTGAAAGGTGGTCTGGCCCCGTGTCTGCAGCCGGCTGGGTCCTCCCGACACAGCTGCCCTCCCTGGACCCCGACCGAGGCAGGAGGTCACAAGGAATTTTAATTCGAAGGCATAACTCCCGCCCCTAAACAATTAGTCCTAAGGGTAAACTATAGCCTTTGGGTAGAATATTACAAAGCGGTTATAAAAAACCTATTTTTTTCAAAATATATGTGAAAGAAGAACCTTTTCAGAAGTGGAAAAAACATTAAAAACGAATCTTTATTTCCTAACTTTTTTTTTTTTTTTTTTTAGAAGCATGGACATAGGCTTCTAGGACAGGTCCTTGTTAGACGTGCCATTCGTCCCTTGCAATGCGACAAGGGACATGAACATTGAAAACACAACGTTTTGTAAAACATCCAAATTTTGAAAATGCGCGGACGGGAGAAGACGTGTTAGAAGGCAGGACCCTGTGGCTGGGGCAAAGCCACCGGGGACCCAGATGACAAGCAAGGGGGTGGGGAGACGGAGTGCGGGGAAGCTAGTGACCCAGCATAATTACTCTTCCGCCTGCATGAGCTCCCGTCCTCCCTGTGGACCCATCATTTCCAGGGACTCCTGAGTCGGTCAGTGTCTCCTAGGGTGGCCCAGGCGGCTCTTGCGTACTCAGTTCCCCAGTAATGACTTTCAGTCAAACCCAACTGGAGGCAGAAACCGCCTGGATCGGCCAGCCCAGGGAGGGAAGGCCAGTCCAAGCTCCGTGGCTTCTGAAACCAGACACCAAGAGCGTCTGATCATCATACTGGCTGATGGGTGCAACTCTCACCTGAGCTATCCAGGACCCCAGCTCTCAGGGGTCAAATGGGAAGTTCAAGAGTTAATCTACAACACACAGAGAAGCAAGGAAAAAGTTAACAATGGTTCACTCTGAGTAGCAGGGTAACTACCGAATTTTCCCCCAGTTCTTTTGCTTTCCTCTGTTTTCCAATCCTTCCAGAAAATACTAGGTAACAGAAACCAAGCTCTAATAACCAAACCTACCGCTTAGCCAGATATGGTTTCTTCCATCAGTGTATCTTCTTCCCTTCAGAAGGTAAAATATTCAAGAGCTTGTCAACCCCTCTGTTTTTAGGCAAATGCAACTCTGCCAGACGTCTAAGTGGTGTAGTTGCTAGGGCCCACCACGTCTCACTCTGGTGCCTGAGTGTCGATTTACATCAAGAACAAGGCATCCACTTCCTCCATCCAGCCTGGGGGTCACAGTGTTCTACACAAATATTTTATCTCCCCCTCCTGCTGCCAGCTATGTATTTCCACTGAATCACCACTTTCCAGGCCTGAGTCCCCTCTCACCCAGCCAGATGTTATCCACAGGATTCTATTTATCGCCCTCTGCTACTACCTTCAAGTTCAGTCTGTTGTGCAGCACGCCCCATGTGCCTCTACATGCAGATCTGATACCATAACTTTTTTTTTTTTAAACATTTGAGAGACAGAGAGCGAGATGGGGAGGGGCAGAGAGAGGGAGGGAGACACAGAATCCGAAGCAGGCTCCAGGACCTGAGCTGTCAGCACAGAGCCCGACACGGGGCTCAAGTTCACGAGTTGTAAGATCATGACCTGAGCCGAAGTTGGATGCTCAACCGACTGAGCCACCCAGGCGCCCCGTTACCGTAGTAACTTAATAAAGGGAAAAAAGTTACCGTGAAATACTTGGTATATTTCTCGGCACACAGCAGGCATTCAATCAACACCAGCTATACAACTAAATACAACACTGTTCTTCCTCCTTCCAGTTGCCTTAGTGCATGCATTTCTCAGCTGTTCCTCTTTCCACACCACACCTGCCCTGAGCCAGAGAAACAAACCAGGAAAGACAAATATTTCTTTCTTAAAAGGCTGTTTTTCCGTCTTCAGATTCAGCTATTCTTCCATGCACTTCTGACTAGTTTATGACTGCCGCAAGCCAGACACTGCAAGCTTCCGAGTGTTAGTGAAACCCAAGTATGGACACACAAGAGGTGGTGTGTAAGACACACCTAATTCCGAACAGAAACACTATTTACACTAGAAACTCACCAGATCAAGTAAAAAAAAAGAGAACATTCACACAAATAAAATCCCACCTGTCTGAAAACAGATCAAGTCAAAATCAACCTATTCCAAATTTAGTAACCTTAGCAGGTCCTAGAAAACTTAGCTTAGAGATCCTTCGGAAGCATCTGAACGTGTGAAATTGTTTCTTAGGTAAATTAACTCTTCAGCCTTGCATGCGTGTCAGTTGCCACGGGCAACTGTATTCAAATCAGAATCTCTTTCGCCGAAAGGTGTATAAAGGTCTAGAGTCCTCAGCTTAGGCAGAAGGGTACCGCACCTTCTCTGAACTTTTTGTGTGGTCAAGGGAAACTAAGAAACCTCTGACTGACTCTAGAGACTGACTCTAGAAGATTCCCTCTCTTCATTCACACCATAAACCACAGATGCTCTGACTCTAGAAGATTCCCTCTCTTCATTCACACCATTAACCACAGATGCTCTGACTCTAGAAGATTTCCTCTTAATTCACACCGTTACTCACAGATGCACGTAGCAACGGGGCACAGCATCAGTGCACGGCCGAGGTCGACCGAGCCGGGCAGGGGACAGCACCAAAGGGAAAGCCGACGTGCCAGCTCTGCCCAGGCCGGCGTCCACGCGCCCTCTCACCAAGGCCTGGGGCGCACTGGGCAGGCAGACCCAGCCGATCAGGCATCAGCAGGGACACAGCACACAACACATTCTACGACAAATGCAGCCTGGCAGTGTGAGCAGTGACAAGGCGGGAGGGTCTTTCTTCTTGACCTGCTCCTTCCCAAATCAGAAACTTCCAGTCAAATACTCGAACCACCCTTCCTCTGTCAAATGCCTGTGCTCAAAGGGGCAGATACTTGGACGGGGGATGGACTAAGACGAGTAACAGTCGTCATCTCCGGTGGGATGGAAAATTCTCTTCTTTACACGTTTTTGTATGTTCAGAATATCCTGCTACAAACATACTCAACCTTAGGACCAGACTAAAAATACAGTTTAAACAAAACTGGTCCCTTCTCCAGAAGAAAAACGTATGCCTCGCCATTGCTATCACGCCACAAGATGTCACAGAGCCCCTGTGCCCCTCTCCCACACAACAAAGTGTCAAGAAATAGTTGGCGAAGCATTTCACAAGTGACATCTGGGCGCTCCGGACAAGAGCAATTACATTTTAAGGGGCTCTGAATTCCCTCCATCCGAAAGCAGAGAAACCTTCAATGCTGAGTTTCAACACCTGACAGAGAATTAAAACCGTGCGCAAGCGACAGGGCCCCTGGTTACCTTGTGCTGCTCTGGGACAGGCGTGGTGCACTTATACGAGTAATCCAAGCCCATCTCCCCGAACGCCACGGCCTTGGGGTGCCTCAAGGCTTGCAACAGGTTTCGCTCTTGACTCTCGCTGTAGTACCGCGCGAAATGCGGGTGACAGCCGAAGGCCCCCCACACCAGGTCCTCTTTCAGAAGCTCCTCCCACAGGCAATCGGTCAGCGTCCGCGGATCACAGAAGTCAGAGATGCAGCCCTGAAACTCCTTAGGGAAGGAGCTGCTGTAAATTTTTCTGAACTTGGTAAAGGACCCTTTGAAAGACAACTTGGAATACAGCATGTCCAAGTGACAGTGGGTATCGATGAACCCCTCTTCCAGGCCTGACCCCCGATGGCTCCTCGGCAGGGGGCCGGCCGCGTGGCCTCCGCAGGGACGCGTTGTTGTCTCCTCCTGGAGCCCTCTTTCCTCCTTCGCCTCTTCTGGGCTCCTGGAGAAGTGGAACGAGCGGGAGCTCTGGGACGTGCCTTCCTCGGCCGCCCCCTGGTCCCTGGAGGTGCTCCGGGAGCCTGCGGCGGGCTGAGCGGCTCGGTCGCTCGGGAGGCCCCGGCCGCCGCCCGCGGGCGGGAAGGCGCAGGGCTTGGGGCTGCCGGCCCAGTAGTTGGCGTAGTCGCACCACGGACTGCTGTACAGGTGAGCCGGGTACATGACATAGTCGGCGGGGAAGGCGGCGGGCTCTGGAACTTTCGGCGAGCCGGGCTCCTCCTGAGAGAAGCGGACTGCGGAGACCTCGTCCACGTCAGACCAGTCGCTCCCGGAAGAGGCGCGCTCCACCACCACGTCCCTCTCCCCAGGCTGCAGAGAAGCAAACAACGCGTGAGCCGCGGCGCGCACGCAGGCAGCCCTCGCACGCCCTCGCCAGCAGGACACAAACTCAGGCTGGTCCTCCCGGCCCTGGCGATCCTTCTGCGCCGGCTGCCTTTGCCGCCTGGGTTCCTCGTCATTTCTAGAACGGGAGCCAGGTCACAGCTATAAGCAGCCGTAGCAGGTTCCACAGGCTCAGACTGCCGTCCCCAGAGGGGCTGCGGTGCCCGCGCCCCCTTCCTGGCCGTCCCTCCCTCCGGAGAAAGGCGCTCTCTCGAGCCCCCGCTGAGCTGGGGGTTAGAGAAAGGCGGCGCCGGGCAGCCCTCATCTCTAACGGGTCTCCACTACGTCCCAAGTGCAGAAGCGCTGTCACGTGACTGCAAATCCTTGTCACGCTGCTCTCCACGGAGAGGCGGCGTCGGGGACCCGCCCCTTCCCCTCAAACCTGAGCCAACCCAGTGGGTCTCGCGAGAACAGCCGGCGAGCACAGCAGCAGGGACGCTGGGCAACGCCCGGGGCTGGGTGGGAGGAGCCTGGCAGCCCCCGTGGGGATCCCACCGCTCGCGCCTCACGGGGAAGCCAGCCCGGCCGCCGAGACCAGACCCCAGAAGGTCCCAGGCAGGCGCCAGCCTCGACCGCCAGCCGCGCCCGCAAGGATCTCGACCCTCCCGCCCCGACACACTTTCTGGACCGCAGGCCCCCCAATAACGGAATCAGAGGCACATGACAGAACACCACCTCCACCCGCAAGCCAGACCTGCCCCGTCTAGACCTTTCTGAATTCCTCACTAGCAAAACTGAGAGCCACGTCCAACATTTCGTTTGAGCCGCTACACGCGATGCTAAGCGCATGGGCTACACGTTGCCTCACATCAAGTCAGCCCCGCAGAACACAAGGCCCCGAGCTCAGAAAGGTCTAGTTCTCTTCACTCCGGGCTCCCAAACACAACAGTGCCCAGCATGATGTGCTCACAAGTACTTGATGAATCTGCAGAACAAATGTTCTGCAATGCTCCCTGAATGTAGCTTCTGGAAGCAACTGGGGGCTTTTTAAGGCTACCCCACCCTAAGAGAAAAAATTTTCATCCAACAGGGTCCCAAAGAATCCGTATGCAAGTTTCCATGTCACTCTGATACAAATCAGATTTAAGAAATACAGTAAACACACAGATCTCAGCTCATGCAAAAAAAAGACTGTTGAAGGCTCCTCGTTTCTTCTGGTTGACGAAGCCCAATACCCACCGGGACCCGACAGTGTGAGCAGCACAACAGGCCTTACGAAGGCCTTTCTTTTCCTGAAAATGCTTGTAGAAGCAAAGACAATTCACATAACAAAAAATTTACTATGAAGAAGTATGATGGATAAATTGATTACCTCCTTAAAATGGGGAAAAAAATGTTTTTGTTTCTACTGTCGATACTAACCTTCCACACCGCTACCCACTCTCCGAAAGGAAACAAACATTGGTGGCCAATGTGTTAATGAATTATAAACTTCCCAGAGGACACTTCCCTGCTTTAGATTTTCTTCCTGCTGTTCCCTCCATGAATAACAGAAATAGCCAAACAAGAATCTTTTCTAAGATACAAGATAACCTAAATTGCAGCACATTTTTTTTAATGTTTATTCTTGAGAGAACAGAGCGTGAGTGGTGGGAGGGGCAGTGAGAGAGGGAGACACGCTCTGAAGAGAATGCAAAGTAGGCTCCAGGCTGAGCTGCCAGCACAGAGCCTGATGTGGGGCTTGAACTCACAAACTATGAATTCATGACCGGAGCTGAAGTTGGACACTTAAATGACTGTGCCACCCAGGGCCCCAACTAATATTTAACATTTAATCTGAAATCCTGAAACTGGGTGATTTATTATACTAGTCCATTTACTTTGAATATGTTTCAAAATTTCCCATAAAAAGTTTTTAGGGGTGCCTGACTGGCTCCATCAGTGTACTGTGTGACTCTTGATCTCAGGGTTGCAAGCAGAGTTCACTTTAAAAAATAAGAAGTTTTCTACAAATTAATCTCTAAGGGAAAATAATCCTTCAAAAACCATCTTAATTATGGTGGAAACTTCCACCAATGCAGACAATAAAAAACTGCAGTCTTGCCAGAATTTGACAATTTTTCCCCCTTTTTCCCAAGAAGACACACTGGAATCATTACTTTTGTATACGTGCACCTGAAAGTTAAAGCCGTTCTCAAATGCAATTAACATCTTTGCAATCCAGCTCTTTAAAGTTATTCTGCCATTTTTTTTTTAAATAACTAATCTGATTAAAGTTACAAAAAGCACCTCAACAGAAGGTTAAGGTTTTATCTGCAAGGATGATCCCTCAGAAAGGGGGCATCATTTGATATCCAAGTTCTTACAAAGTCTCCTGTATTACGAGATGTACGTTCTTTTACGAGAGGGGGACAAATAACCCCAAACAGACCTCAAGCAAGCTACTGTTGGATGCTTATAGAAAGGTTTCCTAAATTCATTTCTTAAAATTGAGGGGTGAAGTTAGGCAAAGAGATGTACCAGATTTTATTCCTGGAGGATAGGACCTCACAGTCTCGCTGAACATCAAGGTTTCAACAAACCTTTTTAAGATCACTTTTTGTTTTTTAAATATCACTCTTAAAAAGCAATACAGTAAATGGTTGCACATAAGGAGACATTAGAAAAATACTTGAGGGGCACCTGGGTGGCTCAGTCAGTGAAGCATCGGACTTCGGCTCCAGTCGATACCGTGGTTCATGGGTTTGAGCCCCGCGTCGGGCTCTGTGCTGACAGCTCAGCACCTGGAGCCTGCTTCAGATTCTGTGTCTCCCTCTCTCTCTGCCCTTCCCCCACTCACGCTCTGTCTCTCAAAAATAAATAAAAACATTAGGAAAAAAGTTTAAAAAAAGAAAAATACTTGAGAAACTTACAAAGTGGTACCCAGGTGGAGAAACAGGGTAACAGGACCAGGATGGAAAGCTATTTTTCACTAAATACCTTTTGTTCTTTAGTTTCAAATCATGAGATTATTTACTGAGAAAGTAACCTCAAAAATAATCAGAGGTTGTTACATTGTGGCGATCCCAAAATACACGTCCAGAAAAAATGAACCACAAACTGCTAGACTGTGATAGGAACAGCTATTTGCAACTTGGGATAAATTTCCAAGGACAGAATTATACACAGATTCAAAAAGTGCCACATCCCATCAGCACAATCTCTCAGCTGCAGAAAACTACAAGGCAAATGGCCCTATTTTTTACAACAAAAAAAATTATAACACAATGGGAAGGGATGAGAATCTACAGAGACTAAGAGACTTGAGATATTTAGAAATTGCTACATATGGCTCTTATTTCGATACTCTTTTAAACAAACTAAAAATATCATGAAATGAACAGGATTATTTAATCACTGGCTGGATAGTTGATGTTATCAAGGATTCTGTGTGTGTGTGTGTGGTCTAATTTGTCATGTGTTTTTTCTGAAAATCCTGTATCACTTAGAGAGTCATACCACAATATTTATGACTGAAATGATACAGTAATTGGGATTTGCTTGGGATTCAAAATTATTTTGAATTTGTGGAGAGAAGCACCTGGCTGGCTCAGTCAGTAGAGCATGCAACTCAATCTCAGGGTCTTGAGTTCAAGTCCCATGTTGGGTCTGAAAGCCACCCCCCCCCCCCCCAAAAAACAAAAAATCACGCAGAGAAAAGAGCTAAGACAAGATTGGCAGTGAATTAATTGTTGAAGATGAGGGACGGGTGTATGGGTAATTTTCATAAATGTTTTAAATTTTCCAAAATAAAAAGTTTAAAATAAAACTAATAAGGGGCGCCTAGGTGGCGCAGTCAGTTAAGCATCCGACTCTTGGTTTCGACTCAGGTCACAATCCCACAGTTTGTGGGTTCAGGCCTGACATTCGGCTCTATGCTGAGAGGGGGTTCAGAGCCTGCTTAGAATTCTCTCTCCCTCTCTCTGCCCCTACTCGACTCACGTTCTCTCTCAAAATAAACATTTAAAAAACAATAAGTTACGATTCCAATCAGATAGAAGGGTGGATAACATCCTCTGGCTGCTTCCCAAACTCCTCTATCTTCCAGGGGGTTTTGTTAAAAACCATCAATTCACAGGGGCACCTGGGTGGCTTAGTCGGTTAAGCACTGACTTCAGCTCAGGTCGTGATCTCACAGTTCATGAGTTTGAGCCCTATGTTGGGCTCTGTGCTCACAGCTCAGAGCGTAGAGCCTTCTTCACAGATTCTTTGTCTCCCCCCTCTCTGTCCCTCCCCTGCTCAAAAGTAAATAAAAATGTTAAAATAAACAAACAAACATCAATGCCCAGGTCCCATCTCAGATCTCCTGAGTCAGATTTTCCATTCTTATTATCAGGGAAGTTCAGGAAATCACACTACTGGACTCAAAAAGGAACTCCAGTGACAACAAGCACCATGTCAAAGACATGTAAAAAGGTTCAATAAAATTTAATGAAATCCGTGAGTGGGAAAAATGGCAGAGTGTGGAAAATATATGAATTCAAAAAAGCATGTGTAACTACAAATACATACTATCAACAGACTTAGGATTATGTCATCTAAGTCCTTGAAAGGCTTATACAGTCAAGTTGGCCAAGAAAAGGGTTTTGGGTCTTCTTTTCGAGAAAATGGAAGGTTACCTATATTCAAGACTGCCTTAGGTTCACACCAACATGGTAAAATTTGAAAGTTAACATTTACTGAGGCCCTACTATACACTTATCACTGCGCAAAGTGTTTTCACATACTAGTTCACGGATCAGCCAACTGTGGCCCACAAGCCAAGTCCAATGCACTGCCTGCTGGGGTCAACAAGGTTTTGCTGGAACATAGCCAGGCCTGTTCGCTTAAATATGGCCTGTTTTCACACTTCTACAGCAAAGCTGAATAGTTCCAACAGAGGCCACAGAGCCCACAAGAGCGAAGGCATTCTCTGGCCGTTTACAGAATACAGAATGAGTTTGCTGATCCTTTTCTTTGTTAACCATGGTAAGTGTTCAAGAACTGTGACTTGTACACAGATGAAACTGGGGCTCACGGAGGTTGGGTGGCTTTCTCATGATCACAGTTCAGGAGGCCATGATACGACCCAAATCACCGGATGCCAGCACTCAGTGCCTACCTACCAGGTCATGCCACCTCCACATGGATGCTTAACACGGACAATCTACATGTCCAGACTGACCAAGAGAAATCTGGGTACTTCAGTCTGGAAAGTTCATCCCTACGAAGGAATTTTAGGCCGCCCAACAGATCATGATCAACATCAGACAGGAAACACAGCCATGATACAGTGAATGGAAAAAGTAGGTTATAAAACCTCTTGTTCTTGGGATTTCCCGTTAAATACACCACATGTGGTTTTTGTCCTTCCTGCCAAGAAACCCTTTGAAAATTATAGGAAATGACTTGAGAAGACAAACCTACAAAGAGAAAGGATATAGAATAAACAGCAAAGTACACAAAAATCGGCTGCCAGAAAGCAGACAGAGGAACAGTTATCAGATACGCAGACCACAGAGGGCCAAAACCAAAGCCTGCAGTGAGAAACACCCGGAAACAGGGAGAGCCACAGTACAGGGCCCCGAAAAGACTCAGGCACTGGAGCGATCAGAGCGCTAAAATTGAAGGTAAAGCTGGAGATGAAAACAGGAGGAGCCAGAATCTGTGAAGTTAGGTCCCCAGCTCCCCGCTCCCATCTTATGCAGGTGGGTCCGCCCTTTCCCACCCAGCAAAAGACTAAGGTCATACGAAGTACTTAGAACTTTCTCATACTTGGTAAAGCTGAGCCAAGGAGACTATGGAATAACCAGGGACAACGGACACACAATTGAGGGGGAGGGACCGCTGCACAGTTAAGAACCCAGGTACCTCCCTCAACCTGACTCCCAGAACAGCAGCCGCCAGACATACGCCTCCCGGGTGGAGGAGGAGAGCATTTCCCCTGGGGGACACTGACCAGCCTATGACGATCAAGCCACAGACCCAGTTGGGGCCCCCACAAAATTACCCAATGTCGGCACCCTGTGTTGAAGCCAGCAGTTGATAAGTCCATCCACGCACTTACAACTTCCAATCAGCTTTCGAAAGCTCCATCTTTAAATACGGACAGCCAGCACCTACATCCCAGGAGAGCCCTACCACGGAAGATCGAAACCAAAATTCTTCGGGGGAAAAAATGGAAGGAAACTCAAAGAAAAAGCAGTGCAGAAAGCAGAAGAAAACTTCAAAACAAACCTGTAGCAATTCTCAAAGAGACAAGGCGTGATAATCTCAAACAACCACAGGATGCTCTAAAAAAGGAATACTCAAAACGTTCAACTAGTGTTCTTGGAAATTAACTAATCAGGGGCACCTGAGTGGCTCAGTCAGTTAAGTGCCCAACTTCAGCTCAGGTCACGATCTCATGGCTCGTGAGTTCAAGCCCCAGGTCGGGCTCTATGTTGACAGCTCAGAGCCTGGGGCCTGCTTTGGATTCTGGGTCTCCCTTGCTCTTTGCCCCTTCCCCACTCACACTCTCTGTCAACAATGGAAAGAAGAAAGAAAGAAAGAAGAAAGAAAAGAAAGAAAAGAAAGGAAAGAAAGGAAAGAAAGGAAAGAAAGGAAAGAAAGGGGGGAGATGGGAAGGAAGAAAGAAAGGAAGAAAGAAAGAAAAGAAATTTAGTATGTCAAAAATGGAGTGGGGAGTATATATTATATACACTCACCTTAATTACTCACAAAGAAAGCAAAAACAAAAGGAATTCTACGGCAACAACTGAGGGAGGTAAACCTCCAAGAAGAAAATACAGGATTACTTATTTTGACAATATTGAGGAGAATTTTATGGCACTAGCAGTTTGAGGATGAATTAGTGACAGGTACAGAGAAAACTAAAGGGAAGAAACAAGGCAGTGATGCTCTCCAAGGAAGATAAACTTTTATAACAACGTAATCCGGGGCGCCTTGGTGGCTCAGACGGTTAAGCATCATCAGGTCATGATCTCACGGTTCGGGGGTTCGAGCCCCACAATCAGGCTTTGTGCTGACAGCTCAGAGCCTGGAGCCTGCTTTGGATTCTGTGTCTCCCTCTCTCTCTGCCCCTCCTCCACTCATGCTCTGTCTCTCCCAAAAATAAACATTACAACAAAGGAAAACCAAAAATGTAATCAGAGTATTCTAGATGACTCGGGCTAGGAATGGGGGATAATAAATCTTCAACAGATTCAGCCAGAAATTGGATAACAGCACAGGGAGTTAGCGCTGAAGTTAGCGCAGAGCACTAAATTCTCAGCTTTTGAGTAGCACGTCCACAGATGTCTACAACTGGAAAATCAATACACAGTGCAAGCTTACTTAGAAATACAGAGGTAAGTACTAGAAGAAAGAGTTAAAAAGGTTCAAGGAGCTCCCATTCAAGAGCCATAGGTAAAGGATAAGCAGAGATGGGTACAACAGAGGAAGGCTTTTCCCCCTCGATCATAAATTGCATTTAAAATTGCTAGTTTCCCTCCAATACCGTTCTTTCCTTCAAGAGCAGTATGATCAGGGTGTCAATCTCCCGGATTAAGGTTAGTTTTCCAGACTCTCTTGCAGCTAGGTGTTGGCCAGGTTTCTGGATTTGTGTCAATAGATAAAAGCAGGGCATGTCCTTTCCTTTCCTCTCCTCTCCTCCCCTTCCTACTGGCTAGAATGTCAATGTCATGTACGCAGGGTCCCATCAGAGTAGCCACCTCAGACCAGACGGAAACCAGGTTGAGGGAGCAAAGCATCAACGCCAGGCGCCAGGGTCCCTGGAAGTGTGGAGCCATCCTCCTGAAGCCAAATTTCTATTTTCTTTAAGCCATTATCCATTTTGTTAGGGCAGGCACGCATATCCTAACATATAAATTCTAAATTCAAACAAACAAACAAACAGGTGGGGGTGCCCGGTGCCTTAGTCAGGGGAGCGTACAGCTCTTGGCTCACAGGGCTGTGAGTTTTAAGCTCCAAGTTCGGTGCAGCGAGCACTTAAAACCAGAATCTTAAAGAAAGAAAAACCAGCACTGTATTAGAAACTCTCCAGACTTCTTAGGAAGACAGTATTTTAGAAGACAGTCATCAGTTTGTCCTGGGGTCCTGGGTAAGTCAAGTGCTGCTTTTAATGAAGAACACGCAGGATCAAACTACAAAGGCCAAGAACTAAAAACCGCACGCTCGGTGTAGGCTCAACTCACCTTCTGGCTTTCCGTGTGAGCGTCAGAGTCCTCCCAGCACCCCAGCGGGGGAGAGTGCTTGTCAACGACTGTCCTGCGGTCACCAGGTGTCCCCTCGCTGGGTTTCTCCTCGGGGTCTATCACCACTCTCCTGTCGCAGAAGCTGGTCCTCTCTGGCTCCGCCTTTTCCTCCTCCGCTCTCACCTCTGGGGCTGCCTCTTTCCCTTCCTGAGCAGGAGACGTGGCAGCACTCCTGGCCCCCGGCCCTTCTCCACGGCTGGGACGCCCGCCGGCGCTCGGGCTTGCCCTGGGGGAAGCCTCTCCCTTCCTTTTCGGCATCGACTTTCCCAGGATGCCCTGCAGAGCCTTCAGGTAGATCACCGTAGAGCCTTGGTCTCGAAACCTATCCCTCTTCCTTTTCTGCACCTTGTTTGGTTCCTCAATTGTGTCATTCTGACCCTCAGCTTCAGCTGCAAATTCAGAGTTTGTGGAGTTACGAGAACTCTCTTTTGAATCAACCTGGAAGCAAGGGGGAAAAAAAAAAAAAATCACAGATCGTGAAAGGGTTGTCCCAAGGGTAATTTCATACAGCAAGTCCTCAGCAAATCAGAAGTCAGTGGCGGCTGCAGCAATAACAGGCAGGGTGACCGAGACGAAGATCCTCTCCTGGAGCTAGGCTCCATCCCGGCCTGTTTAGAAGTGCGACTGTAAAAGGGCCTGAATTGCTGCAGTTTCTAACTACTCACTTTCTAGTGCTCATCAGGTCATACCCTCATACTGCACGGGGCAGGAACGAACCAAGAGAGAGACAGTCTAAAGTCACTAGAAGGTAAGGTCCTGGAGGCCAAGGACTACCACCACCCACTTCAGAACACGCATGGGCAAAAGAGAAGCTCAAAATTTCAGCACCAAAAGGGTCAGCTAACCCAATCCCCCGTCTCAGGGTCAAGGAGACCTAAGGGCCCAGGAAGCAGTGGACCCCTGAGGGCAGGGTGCAAGCCTTTCCGAAGTTCTCTGCAAACTCCTTCCCCCAAATCAAAACCTGGGTGCTGGAAGGTGTCTGGTCTCCCAGAGAATGCACCAGGGTCCGTCCAGAGGCTGTAACTACCCCCGACCTCAAATCTCCTCAGAGATGCAGGTCAAGTCTCAGTTCCTTCTTTCCTTCCCCTCAGCACTCACTCATTCCAGCAGCTACACTGTTCTCGATGTTAATTTACTGTGAAACACATCCAGTCTGATCCCGGCCGGGGATAAGAACACTCCACAAATCTTCCTCTAGGATCCTCTCAAAAGCAGTGAAGTCCAAACCTCCCCAGCTAGGACCTGGGTTGACCATCAACCCAAGGGCTTCTATAGTCCCTACATCTTGCACTTCGAATTCCTTTGCATTAAATTCCTCTCAAATATACAGACGGAGCGAGAACTCCACACGAAGGTGGCTTGATCCTTTTTCTCTACTGCCCATCAGGAAGGGACTGGTTACATAAAGAGGCTGACCCTCTTATTTATTCACTTCTCATATTATTTGAATTCTTTCCAAGAAGCACATGCATCCTTTCTTTAAGGCTTCTGAAGTCTATAAATCTAGACAGTAACGTGGCATATTTTTTACTAGCAGTACTCAAATTGCTGGTGTCTACTGGCTTTGAGGAGACGGACAGGAAAGGTGGTTTTTACTTTCATTTTGAACCTCTGAATCTTCTAGCATGGTAGACATTTTTTTTTTTTAATTGTCTACAGGCATTATCTGGGAAAGGAGATTATAAACCATTTTTTGGTACCTTTTCTTATTTAAGAAAACCTAATAAATATTTTAAAAAAACAAAACAAAACAAAACAAAAAACCTTGGAGGTTGCCTGGGCTTGTCTTATGGGGCACAGCCACAACCTCCCAGCCTGCTTCTCCACCGTCTGCACCTCCACCTCCAACCACGACCTCCAACCACCTGCCAGCCTCCAGGGCCCCCATCATGCCCTTTTACATACCTTTGTGGGCAAATCTCCCCTCCTTTGCTTGGGATACCCTTGCCTTAGTATTCATTTTACATTTCACAAACTACTACTCATCCTTGAAGTTTCCAAATCCCTACTTGGACTTCTCCGCCTCTGCCTGGGCCACCAGCTGCCCCTCTCCCTCGCCCTCCCACCCCCGGCCCAGGCCAGGTACAGGATGGCACCGAAGGACAAGGCCGACAGCAAGGAGAGGGGCCCCTGTACCTTCTGAAGGGTCACGGCTCCTGATTTCAAACCTGACACCGCCGCTTGGAAGTACAGACCCGGAGTTACAGATCCCCGTTTTCCGAGGAAAACAAGAAATCTCAAAGTTAACTCATTTGTCTCATCCAGTCAGCAATTTTTTTGTTGAGGCATACTTCTGGATCTGGGGGTTAAGCATTCAATAAAACATAGCAACACACCTGCTCGCTGGACCTCATATTCTAGTTGGTGGGCAAAGGGAAAACCCGAAGAAAGGCAATGTATGTGGTAGAGGGTGAACAGGGCCGGAGAGAAAATAACACGTGGAAAGGAGGGATGGAGAAGGGCACTCAAGTGCCCGGTTCAAGGTAGAGGTCTAGCCAGGAGGTGATTTTTAATGTGAAATTTCCAAAATTTTGATACTCCGAGGACCCAGCAGGCCACACGTAGCCTGTGGGCCACCGTCTGGCCAACCCCGGTAAAGGAGACCGGGACTATCCTTGTGGGAGAAAAAAGGGTTAGAATCCGAAGAACACACCTTCTGTTTTCATGTGGACTCAAGAGTTCACAGAGCTGAACCTTACATGTTTCCCTGTGGGCTGACAGTCCCCAGAGCTGCCACAGCTGTCATCCCTCCTGTTCAGGGAGGGAAACTGCCATGGCCTATAAGTGGCAGAACCAGGAGGCAAACTCAAATTCCCCCTAACATCCTGGAAACCAAGGGAGAATAGCAAAAATATGAACACTCAGAAACAGTAGCAAAGGCCGCGATGTCAAAGACCGTGAGGACCCGAAGTAGATCCAGGTTCGACCGAAGACGTGCAGAAGTAGACAGGAGGCTCTAAAGGCAATGATTAGGTAGGAAGTTCAAGAGAAAAGGCCAACAACCTGGCTTCTTAAAGGAGAGGGTTCCTTCTTCCTGGCGGTTCGGCATGGTGAATTATGCATCTCTGGAGGAGGCGAGAGAGATGTGTTCCAGGCCTTGTCCTCACCAGCGTGCCCAAGGGCGACATTTCCCGCCCAGTCCCTCCCGTCCCTCCTCCAGGCGCCCAGAGGAGTTCTAACATCTGGCGACCTCGCGCCTCCGCTTAAACCCCATCAGTGCTTCCGCATCTGCCCACAGGACACATCCGCAGCTCCCGAGCAGGGCATCAGAAGCCGTTCGCAGGCTCGACCCCAAGCTTCTTTTCCAGCATCATCGCCCCCTTTCTCCACACACCCAGGTGCCCGGGAATGGAGAAAGGTGCTGGAGCCAACGGAAGCGAGGGCCTTCGGGAACCGGGAGTGTCCCGAGAGCTTCAGGCCAGCAGCCCTCGCTGCCACTTTCTGGACACACACCGTTACCCTCCTCCCTGCCCGTCAGAACTCTAATGGGCACCTCTTCCGTGAGGGCCTTCTCGAGGGTTCGTCATTCACCGCTCTGACTCCGGGTACTTCAAATACCTCTGTTACAACACTCCACACCATGCTCGGTGCTGAAGGACTGGCCAGTGCCGCAACCACAGCCTCGCTCTCTGCACCTCCGGCCCCTGGCACGGACTACCGCCCAGCTCTGCACATCTGCTGGGTCGGGATGCAGGAACCACGATCACACACAAAAGCTGTGTCAGTCGAGAGCCAAGACACACAATGGCTTCCTGTGTCTGGGCTGTGCCGCCCCGCAGAAGGGGAGGATCTTGGCCTCTTCGTCTCTCCACCCCTCATTCTAATCCTGGGCCAGGACAGAGCAGGTGCTCCAGAGGGCCGGATGCGAGAGAACCCAGGCTCTGTAGTCCCACCGGTCTGGGATTATAGCGCAGACTCCGCCACATACAAGCTGCACGGCGTGGCCAGTTACTTAATGTTTTTGAGCCTCCTCTCCCAGCCCCTACACACTTGTGCTTATCGATATGTAAATATTTGTTAACGGACATGTAAAGATAATACTATTTCACGAGACTCTCAGGATTATGTGAGAGCTTACGGGTCAAACGTTGAAAACCGTATTTGATGAAAGTCTATCACCTCGTAAAAGCTCAAATTTTCCCTTCCAGTCTTCCTTCCCGAAGTTGAAAGTAGAAATTTAGACGGGTCATACTACGGACTAAGTTATCAGGTAGGTGAAGGTGCTCACAACAGATAAACTTAACCTTCTCTACAGAATAAATGAACATCCTCGGCCCCCATTAGAATTTGAGAAAACCTCTCCGGCAGCTGTCCCAGAGCTAATAAGGAATGAATGAGAAGAGGCTGGCCGACAAAAGTCTCTAGTGATTACAAATAGCCCCATCTAGCTATGGTCTGCATGTCCCTCCCCCCAGCCCCCCAAATGCCTATGCTGCAATCTAACCCCGAGGTAATGGTGCGAGGCAGGTAGTCTGGGCGGTGATTAGGTCATGAAAGCGGAGCCCTCGTGAATGTGACCAGTGCTCTCACCTAAGAGGCCCCAAGAGAGCTCCCCTGTCCCCTCTGCCATGTGAAGACATTAGGAGAAATCTGCAACCCAGAAAAGGGCCCTCACCCAACCATGTTGGCCCCTTGATATCAGACTTCCAGCCTCCAGAAGTGTAAGAAATACGTTTCCGCTGTTTATAAGCTACCCAATCTGCGGCGCTGTTGTCGCAGCCAGAACAGACTCAAACAGGTTCCCCAGTGACTATTCTGTGACCTGGCTGAGGCCTCAGTGCTGAAGCTGGGGTGAGAGAGGCGATGAGGGACCCCCCCACACACAGCCAAGCACATACCCCTCCAAGTTTACAGGGCAAATGCAGAAGAGGTGGACAGGTAGTGGAAAGGAAGGCGATCTCAGAAGGCCCAGGGGGGAAAACGTGTCGTTTCCCTGTGAGAGCCGCTGGGCTGTGCTTGCTGACAGGACTTAGGACTCACTCGATGAGAAAGCTGGACGTGACCGCAGAGCCAGAGGGGAAGAGGTGCAGACTGAGAGGGAAATAAGAAAGGCATTTTGTAAGTCATCAACGCGAGGCCAGTATCACGCCTTGTTTCCAAACTAGCAAACACTATAGGGACAACCCTTAGCAGGGCCAGAGAGAGGAACAATTCAGATTAATAGTTAACACCCTGCCATTCTATCCTCACGGAACACGAGTGACCTCTCAAAGATGCTAATCTGCCTTCCTCACAGATAGAATCCACTAGAACCCTCTCATGGCTCAGAATAAAATCCCAAGTCCCCTGGCTACTGACGCCCTGCTGAGACCTGCCCCCACCTCATCTCCAGCCTCCATCCTGGGCTCATAAGCTCCACAAGCAAGCACATCATGAGGCCGTCTCACGACTTCTCAAGCCCTCCCCCCAGGACAGGTGCTCCTTTGAAGCCATCCCATGGCTCCACGACCCAGCAGAGTGCCCGGCCCTCAGGAACCCTCACGGGCTTACGGACTAAAGGCAAGGCACTCACGTCACGGCTTCCGAGACAGGACCCGACTACTCCTGGCTCCACAGTTAACCATTAAATAGCTTTTGGCACAAGAAGGCCCCTTAGCCCTAAATGAGATAAAAATGGGGCCCTGATAGCTTAGACCCACCTGGATCAGAAGCGCTCTACCTTCAAATCTGTAGGACGGCTTGAGCCGGATGTGCCGCGACTGAAAGAGCAGAGATTCCAGCCCCTCTTGAAAGGCTTCATTCTATCTCTAATTGTCACTGAAGTAAAATTTAAATCAACTGATATTATTTTATGCTGTGCCCAAATCAAGTGAACAGCGTCAAGAAGGACTAGTGGCAAGATTAAAAGAACAGGCCGAGCCTGCTATTTACCTGATTTACATCTGAATCCTGTTCAATATGCATTCTCATGCCCAAGACAGAAGAATCTGAAATCGTCATCAAAAAAAAAAAAAAGAAAGAAAGAAAGAAAAAACCCATGTGCCACACAAGAGTTGTGTGAGGCGCACGGTGAAAACACCTGGCGCGCTTCACCTAAGGGACCCGCGGGGGTTCATTAGATCTCAGGTCCACGAAACTTAACCACCGAGCCAAGGTTTACAGATAAACCCACTTTCCTTATTGCCTCTGATTCCTTTCTGTAAGATGCGTTTATCTGAAGCCATCTCACCCAACTAAGGCTCTCCTTCCGCTCCTCTCCGAACACAACTCCTCACCTTCTAAGGCCCAGAGCTGCAAACCTAGAATGCAAACTCTTAAGAGGGCGGTGATCTCTGTTCTGTTCCAAGTAGAGCACTGCCTGGGACACTCTAGGCCCTCGATAAATAGTTGTTCAAAACCTGCCTGGAAGGAAGAGAGGGTGAAGCTCACGCTAAGGTTGGTGACATTAGGTAGTGCTCACCCGCTCTACCAGGGAAGCAGCGGACCGTGAGAGAAGCAAATTACATTTGCTTCTATGTCTCACAGATGCATGTTCAATCTTCCCTCACCACCACCCCACCCTCTCAAAAAAGGACTGGGAAAATTTTATCCGCCTTTTTTTAAGTTAATATAAATAAAATGAAGGAGTGGATGAAATGTACCTCGTCTGAGAAGCGCTCCTGCATGGTTCTAATGCGGAGCTAAATATTTAAGCTCCAAAAGCAACTCTACCCTAACCCACCAAGCAAAACCCCAAGGTGCTAGGAACCGTTAACTCTGGTGAAATTCCCCACCAAGAACAAATCCTTCTTCTCCGTTCTGTGACTCAGGTTTAAAGCACAAGGGCGCCATTCCTTACATTCACAACTGAAATGAATACGGCGGTGTCTCTTGAACTTGCCGTGCACCTTCTAACCCAGCGAGCCTTCAACCTAAACTGCACACTACAATTACTAGAGGAGCATTTAAAAATCTGGAAACCCAGGCCACACCCGGGCCCAAGAGCCCAATTAAAGGAGAATGAGAAACAGGCGCAAGCACGTTTAAGCTTCCCAGAGAGTTTTAAAGTGCTGCCAAGTTTGAAAGCTACCTCTCTAGGGCACGTTAGCCCGCCCCCCGACCAGCTGCTGGGTCTTCCGAGTTTGTTAGGTAGACCTGGGAAGACCCCCAGAGATCTCTGAAGACGTGACTCTTTTTAGTCTCAAGCCACGTGGAAGGGCCTCACCGACTGCAAGGCTCCCGAGCCACCTACCTTAAGGCTGCAGGCTTCCTCCTCCAGAGAAGCCATTTCTTCTAGAGAGGAGTCAGCAGAGCGAAGGGGGGATCCTCCGGAGGAAAGGAATCCCCGTGTGCTCCGAATCAGGCAGCCTTTGGAGGCAGCCCCGCCCACACCTGGGCCAGAGGAATGCGAGGAGGAAGAGGAGGAGGAATTTCTGCGGCAGGAAGAGCCCCAGGGCAACCTCGGGGTGCAGGCCACATCGTCCTGCTTCTGGGCTTTCAGGCGCTTGGGGCTGCCGGTCCCTCCTGAACGCGGTGCAGAGCTACGAGCTGACCGGCTGGAGGGGGCCACATCACCGGGCTCCCGGAGGCAGCTGCGCTTGCGGGGACACCCTTCCGAAGTGCTGCTCCAGTGGTACTTGACCTTGCGCCGCTCCGACGCCATGGGCACCTGCAAAGTAAAGAGGGGGCCTGGATTCCTACACCGCCCCTCCGCAGACCCCCGCCATCCCAAGGTCCCCCGGAGGAGGGCCAGCCAGGTCAGAGCCAGGCGCCTCACTGACCTTTCCCCCTTCTTTCCACTGCCCATCACAGTTCTCAAGGTTTCGGAGATGCCAACGCGCTTCGACTGTTCGCGATTCCAAAGCGCTTCGTCTTAGTCAAAACGATCCAAGATTTACTAAGGGCGTCGGTTGGGTTTCCAAACCCACAACGTGCTTCCGCGATCGCCAAGCGCTTCAGCTTGCACAGCGCTACTAGGGAGATGTCAAAGCGCTTCCGGGATTACAAAGCGCTTCGATTTAGTTTGCGATACAGAGCCCTTCCGAGATGTCAAGGCGCTTCAAAAGACTACAAGGCGCTTTTTAGGGTCCACACAGGGCGACCAGACCCGCAGCCTTTGGGCGGGCGCGTGGCCCAGAGGCCCTGTACGCCCAGGCCGGGCCGCAGGGCAGGGCCAGACCCGGCGCGCAGCCCGCCCGGCTCCCGCGGCCCCGCCGACCAGCCCGGGGCCCTCGGGGCCCGAGCCGCCCCCCGGGAGCCGGCGGTGCCGCGCTCGGCCGCCCGGGACGCCCTCGGGCTCGCCCGGCCGCCCCTGCCGCCGCAGCCCAGACGCCGGGCCCGCCGCCCCCACGGCCAGAACGTCCCACCCCGGCCGCCCGCTCGCCTCCCGCCCCAGTCCCGCGGCCTCCGCCCGAGCTCCGGCCACCCCGGCCTCCGCGGCGCCCGCCTCCCGGAACGAGCCCTGCGGCCCGCGGCCCGGCGTGCGGCGGGGGCGGGTCCTGCGCAGAACGGGGGGCGCCCATTGCTCGAATCGGCAGGGGGCGGGACTCCGAGCAAGACGGAGCGCGCCTGTTGGTCAGGAGGCTTGGAGGCATTGGTCGGAAGCAAGGCGGGGCGGAGCCACTCACGTGGGCCCGAAGAGCGCGAAGCGAGGGAGGGCCGCGGTTCCGCCCGCCTGCGTTCCGCGGCTTCGGGGGAGTCCGCGGACCCCCATCCTACAGAGCGGTTCCCTACTGCTCAGCGCTGCAACCCTTAGCCGGTCGCGTTCAGGTCCCGAGAGTCTCCTCGAACCCGCACTAACGTCATGACCCCATTTGCAAAGCAGGAAACTGGCTCAGAGAGACCAAGAGACACACCCATAGAGTGGCAGAGTTGGAAGTTAGGAGCCACAAGGAAAAAAAAAGCGACACAAAAATGCAAAATGTAAAATTTCTGCCGGGCAAAAAATATCAAAGTTAAAAGACAAGATACACACTTAGAAAAATATTCGCAACACCTGACAGGGGCTGATGTCCCTACTATGTAAAAACCTTCTTAATAGGATAATTATTAAAATGGAACAGAAAAAAAATTAATAGAAACAATAAAATGGAAACATGTTAACTGGAATTAAAATAAAAATTTAAAAAATAAAATGGAAACAAATGGGCCAAGGAACAGCAAATTACAAAAGGCTCTTTAATATCTGAAAAATAGGCCTCCACTTGTCACTTTAAAAATACGAATAAAATTATAAATTTTCACCTATTAATGGGCAATCATCAAAAAGCACGATAATAGTCGTAGCTGAAGATGTGGGGAAATGCATTCTCATAACGGATTCCATATAAATTGGTACAACATCTTTCGAAGGAACACTGTAGTAACAGTGCAAACCACCGCAACACCCGGCAATGGAAGCTAATTATATAAATTATGGAATATCCTTAGAATGGAATACCAGGCAAAAAGACTAAAGTAATCCAAAAGTACTGTTGAGGAAGGATGGCCAGGAAGGATGTGACAAAACATACCCACCCCGAAGCCAGAAATTCCAACTCCATCTTCAGCTCAGTCTAACTCATAGTTTTGGTCTTCTAATGAAAATCTTCTAATGAAATCTAACAATTAACGATGCTAAGCAAAAAGGTAAAATTTTCATCATCTTTGGAAGGATACCCCAAACAATAACAGTGGTTGCTTCTGGAGAGAAGAGGCAAGAGACGAAAATCCCAGTGGAAAAAAAGGCTTTCTTCCTAGCATGTAATGGTTTGTACTGGATTTTTTTTGTCATGTGCATTTATTAACTTGAGGGGAGAAAACAGGCCTTCCTTCTAAGGATTCATAGAAAGATATCGTGGTGCCCTTGAGCCCTCCCCCCCCAGAATTCATATCCACAAACTTATATATACATATTTACAACTTGCTGAGGGGAGAAGGTCTGTAGCTTTCATCAGTTGTCAGAGTGGTTCATTGACTTCTCCAGAAATGTATGAAGCCCTGGTCTGGAAATGCCAGATGTCTTGATAACCTGCACCCTAATGGCACTAGTCCTGAAAACACCCTAGTCAGAATTGTAAGGCGCTTGCCACATTCCAGGTCTCGGTTGGGGCATATAACACACACTCTAGTTGACTCCTCGCAGCCATTAGAGCTTAAAACGGGTGTCAGCACCGGTCAGAGTGGCTAAAATGAACAAATCAGGAGACTCTAGATGCTGGCAAGGATGTGGAGAAACGGGCACCCTCCTACACTGTTGGCGGGAATGCAAACTGGTGCAGCCCCTCTGGAAAACAGTGTGGAGGCTCCTCAAAAAATGAACAACAGAACTCCCCTAGGACCCAGCAATAGCACTGCTAGGAATTTACCCAAGGGATACAGGAGTGCTGATGCATAGGGGCACATGGACCCCAATGTTCACAGCAGCACTCTCAACAATAGCCAAATCATGGAAAGAGCCTAAGTGTCCATCAACGGACGAATGGATCAAGAAGATGTGGTTTATCTACACAATGGAATACTACATGGCAATGAGAAAGAATGAAATCTGGCCATGTGTAGCAACGTGCGTGGAACTCAAGGGCATTATGCTAAGTGAAGAAGGTCAGGCAGAGAAAGACAAATACCATATGTTTTCACTCATAAGTGGATCAGGAGAAATTTAACGGAGGACCATGTGGGAGGAGAAGGGGAAAAATAGTGGGGGAGAGGGAGGGAGGCAAACCATGAGAGACTCTTGAATGCCAAGAACAAACTGAGGGCAGATGGGGTGAGGGAGGGGAAGGGGGTGATGGGCATGGAGGAGGGCACTTGTGGGGATGAGCACTGGGTGTTATATGGAAACCAACTTGACAATAAACTATTTAAAAAATATATTGCAACAACAACAACAAATCAGGGGTGTCAGTGCAGACTGCTGCCCACTGAGGCCGGAGCCCACTCATCTTTGCTACAAAGCCGTACAAAGCTGACCTTCTTGGGGGACTACTGAATGCTTTCACAAAGCAAGTTCTTGCCCTTGCCCTGACGACAAACCCATGAACCAGGTACTTTGTCTTCTCTCCATTGTGCAGATGAAGAAACAGGCTCAGGGTAGCTCCCTAACTTAACAGATCACACAACTACTAACAATCAACATTTATAGGCAGCGCCCAAATCTCAGGCACTCCATGATACCCCTTGGTGCAGCGCACCTTCTCCAGACAAGCTCATCTGGACACAAACAAATTACAAACTAATTACAAAATATCTGTTGACTTTACCAATGTATCTTTTTAAGTTTACTTGTTTATCTAGTCATCTGTACACCCAATGTGGGGCTCAAACGCAACAACCTTGAGATCAAGAGTCACACACTCTTGGGGCGCCTGGGTGGCTTAGTCGGTTAAGCGTCCGACTTTCGCTTAGGTCATGATCTCGCGGTTCGTGGGTTCGAGCCCCGCGTCGGGCTCTGTGCTGACTGCCAGCTCAGAGCCTGGAGCCTGTTTCAGTCTGTGACTCCCTCTCTCGCTGACCCTCCCCTGCTCACGCTGTCTCTCTCTCTCTACTAGAAATAAATAAAAACATAAAAAAAAAAAAAAAAAGAGTCACACACTCTTCCAACTGAAACAGCCAGGTGCCCCCCTCCCCCGATGTATTTTTATTTTACAAAAAAAGAAATCATTACAGTAGGACTATTTAAAATAGGACACACTGAACTTAAAATTGCACATTTCCCAAAAAGATTTGCAACACGACTTTTCAAAAAAAAAAGACCCGCTGCATAAACCTTAGGTACGTGGCAGAAATCTATGTTTAATATCTTTTTATTTATTTTATATAACAGGGCAAGTGCATTTTCAAAGTACTTCTGTAGCCATGTCTCACCCGTTCCTCCAAATAGCCCAGGGAAGGAAAACGAACAGGTGTTACTTACAAGGAAGCCCAGGGTCCAGAAATTAAATAAGTGATTTAAATAGCAGAATCAGACATGCAACTGGCTCTCTGGATTCTTCATTCACTCATAAATAATACACACTCTCAAAACAAAAGCTCCACTGAAAATATTAGCATTAGTGGGATGGGAGGTGCCGGGTGGGCATTAAATAAATATCTGTGGGTTAAAAAAGATTTCTGAAGGAGAAAGTAGAAAACCTACTGAACCCTTTGCCAGGTGTCTGGCATTTGTAAAACTCGAGGCCTTGGGATGTGAACCGAAGAACCGCATTAGGACACACAAGCTGAGGATCTTTCAGGCCAGGGAAGTTTGCGGATGTTGTTGGCAAATGTGATCCAGAGATTTTAACTTTGGAATACAAACGACAGTGTTCCGTCAGTTCTTGGGGGGTGTGAGCTGGGTAACAGGATTACCACACACCCCGAAACCACAAAATCGCCCACATCTTGTGCCGATGGACCCGGGTTTCCGCTTCAGTCTCCTGCTACCCAGCTCTGACCGACAAATCCCAGAAAGGATGATGACTTCATGTATTTTTTGTCTTGAAAAGCTGAGGTCCCTTCTTCCCCATCTCGCTCTGGAAGCTTTCCTTCCCGGCCCAGGAAAGCTGATGGCTGGTGTTCTTGGGAGATTTTGATTCTGCCTCAGATCTTCTTTTTGATTTGCTGTTCATCTTTCCAATTGAGGACAAGGATCCTCATCTGTGCTCTAGTCATCAGGGGCCAAAAAGTTCAATGCTGTCTAGTTTCCCTTCTTTGTAGAAGAGGATATTCTCCATCAGCTTCCTTTTGGCTTCATTGATCTCGATTTTCCACGAGGTCTCCATAGCTGGCGTTCAATAGAAAGTTTAAAGAAAGAACTTGAATAAACAGCATTTGGAAGTAGTTACTATTATTATAATTTTTTAAATGTTTTACTTATTTCTGAGAGAGAGAGAGAGAGAGACAGAGAGAGAGAGAGAGAGAGAGAGAGACAGCGTGAGCAGGGGAGGGTTAGAGAGAGAGGGAGATACAGAATCTGAAGCAGGCTCCAGGCTCTGAGCTGTCAGCACAGAGCCCGTTGCGGGGCTCGAACCCACAAATGGAGAGATCATGACCTGAGCCGAAGTCAGACGCTCAACCAACTGAGCCACCCAGGCGCCCCGCTATTATTCTAATTCTTAGAAGTCAGACTTGGTCAGTTTCTCACTTAAATCACATTTCTAAATCAGGCCCTGAGCATGATGAGCATTTTCCCCTGCTTCTGTCTTTGCAGTGAAGCCTTGCCCCCTGGCCCCACTTTTCAGAAAGGAGGGGCCTT